GATTTAATAAGTTACGTAACTTACGATTAAATCAAAATTACATTGTTGCATTCTTCCTTCTTCAATATTTTTATGTGTGCACTTCAAAATTTTTGTTAGTCTGTTGTTGGGGCTTTGGTGTTTTTTAAAGCGCGTCTTTTGCTTGTGATCTCTTTGTAGTGCTTTGATTTTGAATATATGTATGTATGTACAAAATGTGTGTACATACTTCCATAGAAACGTTTATTGCTTCTTAAATTTTTCTCTGGAATTCATTGAAGTTGTCCCTTTTTTTTGGTAGCAAAAGTGCATTTTCATACGAATTTTATTTTTGGTTTGTTTATTCAATTAGCATTTCGTTCCCCAAAATATTCAGGGACAGGATGTCAAACTTCTTAATATTTTGGCAAAATATCTGCTTCCTTGACGATTTTAAGCTCTTTTCTTGCTCCACCAAAAAAAGTCCAATAAATTTTTTTGTTTTTCATATTTAGTTCTCCGCGTTTTTGGAAATTTTTGTGAAATTTTGAGTGTAGAAACCTTTTTTGCTATTAACAAACATCGAAATAAATTTTTTTAAAATTTACAAATAATGCTTTAGATTTTTAGACAAGCTTCACTTTAAAATCAGTCTTTTTCTTCTTAAAATGCGATTAACTGTACAGAATACCTAATTTTTTCTAAATTTCAAAAACACTAATTATTTCCTACAAAAGCTGACACAAGTGAATATAAATTATTTTTTATTTCTAACATTTTTTCTACTCTCCAATAGGGCTCTTTGAAAATTATTTTTACTCTTTTTCAATTTAGCATTTAATTTAGACATAAACCATCAAAAGTTTAATAAGTAAAATAAAAAATTAATAGTTGAGTATTAGAAAAACTACCATTTTTAAGAATTAAAAGAAAATAATAAATAAGAAGTTACAACTACTAATTTACTTGAATTGTACACATTTCTACTACTTTTATAATAATTACTTCTAATACACTTAGTGTGCTGAATTTATTTAACATTTGAGAAATGTACAAAATATGTTCTATAATAAAAGCTAGCACAAGTTATTTTACATTAATATTCAAATTTTTAGCTTTTGTCCAACAGATGACTCTCAAAAAATTCCATTTATCTTTTTCAACTTAGCACAATATTTGGACTCAAACCATCAGAAATTGAGTGAAAAAAATATAGTATTATTATTTTAGTTTTGAAAACACTGCCATCTATAAGGATTAAAAAAAGTAATTTTAAAGGTTTATTTTTGCCTTATACAAAAATTTTTTTGAATAATTTTTATCTTTTTCTAATTCAAGTTTTTGAATTTATAATTATTTTGTTTTCAAAAAAAACTTACTACATATTTTAATTTTGAAATAAAGACAAACACAATTCTAGAAATTTACAGCTAGTGTAGCATAGCTACGGATATGTTCCAGTGTGACATGACTAAGATAAGATAAACAACTTTAATATTAACATGCATGCAATTGCATATTACGAACCTGCTACCAGAATCTAGAAAGTTTAACTTATGTATATTGAAATCTAATATAAGTGGCTGTAAACAAAGTAACAAATGTGAAATCTAAAGAGTTCCAACTGTAGAAAAATGTAGTTTCAGCCGCTTGCATCCTGGAGAAAGCATGTTATCCCAAAAGAAGCAACAAAGAAAAAATTTTAAGCCTCTTGAAAACAGAGTCAATTTCTTTTTATCATTTATTTTAATAACCACCATTTTAAATTAATTTTAATAGCTAATTCATTCATAACCACAACATTTAGTGTTTTTTGCTCAAACGGAGCTCAAACTTCCTATATTTCATAATTAGCAATGAATTTAACAATATCCTTAATTTGATATTTCTCAATAACAATCCTAAATTTTTAACTCATCTATAAGTATACCAAATTATCTCAATTACTTCCTTTTATAATAATTACCATTTTAGATTCTTTACAGTCAATAAAAATTCCTTTATATCTTAACCTTAAGTCTAGTTATATAATTGAGCGGATATTATACACCAAATCAGCTCACAATATTATTACAAAAAAAAATTAATTTCTTATTTTGTTTTTTTGTTTTATTAAACAAAATATGAAGAATAAAAACATAATTACTTCATAGGGTACCTTACTCCTAAATTATTAAAATGCAATAGTAGAAGATTCAATAGATCTAAGCTTGAATATTTTTTGACTCAATCCATCGCAAATTTTATGACAACAAAAATACAAAAACAAAAAAAAAAAAAAAAGAGAAAATCAAAAACCAAAAATAAAAATTAATAAAAAAAAAAACAAATTTTGTACAACAAATCAAAGAGAAAAAAAAATTTTATTCAGAGTTTCAAACAGTAACAGACGCCGGTTTCCCACGGTCAATACATTCACACTATAAATTGATTTTATTGATAATGATAATAGAATGGGGGAGAATCCAGAGAATTTTTTTTTTATAATAAAATGAAAAAAGACAAAAAAAAAACAATAATCATGAAGAGAAAGAAAACATAAAAATCATAAAAGAATCATAAAAGAAACAAAAACAACAACCCATAAACAACAACAACAATAATAATAAAAAACAAAATAAGTAAAACAGAAATTCAAAAGCATAAGTTTATTGCTCTTCTTCTTACTAGTTGGTGAAGTGGTGTGGTGTGCATAATCTTATAAATATTTGAGTTTAATAATAAATTCTAATGAATGAGTGAGTATGAGTGGAAACATAATAATTTACTGGTGTACAAAATAAACATGAGATTAACTTTAATATAAAAAGTGAAAATGAGTGATTTTATCATGGACAAATTAATTTAAAAATAAAATATTACTAAAATTTTACTGGTGACAAAATTATTAACCTTCATAAATACATTTTTTGTAATGATTAATTGTAATAATATGTGACAGTTGAGGATTTTACTCAATTGAAAAGAAATACAAACAAATGTCAAATTACTTTTGTATTTATTTCTTGAGAAAAAATTTAAATAAAAAAATTTTGAATTTTGAAAAACAAAAGAAAAATTCAAATAAAAAATGAAAATTGTAATAAATTTTTATTTTTTATTTTTTTTTTTTAATTTTAAACGTCATAAATTCTTTAAGAAAAAAATATACTTCATCTATTTCTGAAAGAAATTACTATTTTCGGACTACTGCCATCTATCAAGGAATACAACAATATTGAATATTTTTTTTGAAATTATGTGCATAGCATTTGCTACACACAACTTTTAAAACAGTAAAATAATTTTAAATTTATTTCTTGAGCAATTCATGCTTCAAATTTTTTTTATAGAAAAATTTCTTCTCAGCCGAGTACTATTTGGCTTTAATATAAAATAAACCCTAATTATAAATCAGGATTTTTTTTTATCAAATTACGATAATACATTTCGTATTTTAAAATTTAAAACCGTATTATCAAATATTTTTATTGTATATTTAGTATTATAAAATCAATTAATTATTTTCAAAGACCCGAGAATAATTTGACAGTTTTATAGTATTAAATGAATCGCAAAGTTTATTCCGTGCTATCTGATCATTAAAGAGTTATAGCCTCCCTAAATAAATGACAAGTAGTAGTTGTATAATATAACGAATATAAATATTTGAACAAATTTTGCAAGGTTGGCCAGAATATTATGCAATAGGTTTTTAGAGATTACAAAGTTCTGCATAAATTTGCATTTATTTTTATACATGAAAACAACCAAAAATATCAAAAAAAAAACTGTCAAAAATTTTTAAATTTGTTTCGGCGCAAAGTCTTGTACTACTACGCAACTAATTTTCACCAACTCGTGAATATCATTAATAATATTAATTTGAAAAAATTCAAATTATTTAATTACATTCACATTTATTTAATTGCAACTTTTCACACCAGAGTATATTAATAAAGTCGAAATTTTACAATCTAAATAAGGTTATAAACCAAAAGGTTTTTACCTTAAATAAAATGAGATGTTTTAGAAAATTTTCACTCAAAATAAAAAATTCTCAATATAATGTAAAAGTATAGTGTTTTTTGATGTCATTAGAGAATTCCTGTAACATTATTTTAGTTGGTGAAGTACGTTATCAGAATGTAGTGGGAATTAAAAGAAAGAAAAAAAAAAACTCAAATTTATAAATTAATTGATATGTAAATAAAAGTTGATTAAATTTAATTGAAATACAAAAAATGTGAACAATGAAAATATTTTCAATAAAATATTAGAAAAAGATTTAATTATAAAAGTAAATTGAATAAAAATTGAAAAGACAAATTTTCATCATTTAAAATAATTTTTTTTTTTGTGTTAATTTATAAAATACAAATCACATATCAAATATTAATAGGGTACCGTGGGAAAAATCCAATTCAAACAGGTGTTAGAATAAAAGTTTTTAATGTGTTTGTGTGTATATAGTATAGAAGTTCTCTTTAAGTAATTTTTCCCACGACCACTTGAGAGAGCATTTTCAATTTATTAAAACATGAGTGAGAAAGAGAGAAACGGTATTTTTAAAGAAATAAGAAACCAAAAACAAAAACGTATAAAATGTAATATTATAAAAAATTGAAAATGTATGAATGAAATTCCGTCAAGTGTTGCCATATACTAAATTTTTTAATTAGAATATAATAATTATTAATATAATAAATATATAAAATTATTATAAGCTTTAATAAACGAAAATAAAAATTAATAAAATTTTTATATAATTAATTGTTTTAAAAAAAAATCATTTAAATAAATATGAAATTAATTAAAACTTAATATTATTATATATAATGTTGCGGCAACACTTTACTATCGTAGCGCTTTTTCTCACGCTTTTATTTACTTTTTCAACTTCAAATTAAAAAAAAAAAAAAAAAAAAAAAAACAAAAAAAAAAAATTCACACAGCATTGTGGTAATTTTATGAACATTGAAAACAACATAAAATACTCAAATTCTGAGTAGAAATTTTCAGTTCGTGTCAATGTTTTTTCGAATTAAAATCGTTGGGAAAAAATAAATATAAAAATACGGAATTGATAATTTTTTTTTTTTAGTTTTAAATTTAATTAAAAAACAAAATTGAAATTCTTATTTTTGTATTTTGGATTTAATAAAAATTCAGTTATCATAAATAATGTATGTTTGTATATAAACATAAAAATTCATATTTACTTTAAAGTGACAGATGAAATTAAAATAGAAACAACGGCAACAGCAGCAGCACCAGCACTACACTAGCAAAGGATATATGACAGCTGCTGTCAGTTAAAGAAAAGCATAAAAAAAATATGCTATATAGAGAGTAGCTGTGTGTTGTTGACAACGACGGCAAAATTCCAAACATTTTTAGTTTTTCTTTTTATTAATTTTTATTTTTATTTTAAATGTTATTTAAATAAAATAATTTTTAATTTTTCAATTAATTTTGAAATTTTAAGATAAAACTCAAATACAAAAATAAGTTTTAAGTGAATCAATAGTCGTGCCAAATATTAATTTTTAGAGAAAAAAAAAGAAATTTAATAAAACGAAACATACAAAAAAAAAAAGAAAAAAATCGAAATTGAAAATTTATATGAAAATTTTCTAAAAAATGCTGTGATATATCTATATATTTAAATGAAAATACAACAAATACAAAAGAATAAAGTTATTGATCAAATAAATATGAAAAATATTTCAAAATATTTAAAATTATACCCATTGAAAAATCAAAAATTTTTATTTTCAAATATCTTGTAAACTTCAAAAGGTCCTCAAAAAGAAAAAAAGAAAAAAAAAAACTACCCACATCAAAAATGTACTCAAATTGATGCTTCATATTTTTAGAAAAACAAGAAAATAACAAAAAATATATATATATAAAAACAACAACAAAAATCTCAACATTGGTTATGTTGCAAAAACAAAATCCAAAAAATGATGTAAAAATAAAAAATTTATATAAAAATATCAATTGCAACTTGGGTTAAAAATTATAAGGCAGTTTTTATAAAAAAAAAATTATTTATTTTTTTTTTTTATTTATAAATGAAAAATTTACATTCCAATAAATATTCGGATACCACAATAATGCCACATTTTGGCTTAGGTGGAGGTGGTGCTGGTGGTTATGCACATGCACAAACTCCACCATCTCCACCAAATCATCATCATCATCATATAGGTGGAAGTACAACAGCAGCAAGTGGTCCAAATTCAAATAGTGGAAGTAATAGTGGTAATAATAGTAATCAAAATCATTTAAATGCTAATTCAATGTTACCACCAAGTCCATCTACACCACATCATCATCATCATCATCAGCATATGTCAGCAACGACGATTATACCTAGATTAAATTCTGGATCTTTAATACCAACTAGTTTAGCATCAAATAGTGGAAATGGTGGTTGTGGTAGTAGTGGTTCAAATCAATTATATAGACCTCATATAGAAGATAAAAGACTGACTAGAGACGCAATGGATCGTTATATGAGAGAGCGTAATGATATGGTGATTGTTATATTGCATGCAAAGGTAATTAATTTATTAAATCATTAAAATTATTGTGTTTTTTTTTTGTATATTTTTAGAAATCAAATAATGTATCTGCGTTAATTATTTAAAATAAACTTCCAAACGTAAAAGTTATTCGCTTTTTTTTTTATTATCTATTGTAAAAATCAAAAATTCAATCTTAATTATTCTAAGATTAATGAAAATGATCATCGAAAAAATTTAAAGTAATTATTAATATTATTCAAAAAAAAAAAAAATAGAAACAACTGAACAATTGTGGGAAATTTTATTCAAAAGAATTTAATTAAAAATTATAAACATGCTACATAATTTACTCGAAAATTTATTGTATTAATAAACCTTTTCACCTTTAATATATTATTAGTGATAGATTTCGTGTCCGTTTTACTAAAAACTATTACTTGAATCGCAATATTATTTGTCTTAAAAACTTAACCTGGAGTTTCAAAAAAAAAATTTGAATTAATTTTAAATTATAATTTTTAAGTGTACAAGTAAGTCTTGTAATTATTCTATATAGTGTATTCAATTATTTCGAATCTAAATTTGTGTTTGCGTAGTTAAATATTTCTAAATGACGAAATTCTTTTAAATATATTTATGTAATAAACTTACACACATTTCATATACATCTGGATTATGGAACCATTATTTTGCGTTACTTAATTTTAATCATAATGCATATTTAATTTTTAAAATATTTCTCAAATTCAAACTAAAAGAAAACGTATAATTATTAAGTCAAAAATTTTGTTATACGGATTACTTATTTTAATTTTAGGTCGCCCAAAAATCTTATGGTAATGAAAAACGTTTCTTTTGTCCGCCACCTTGTATATATTTATTTGGGAATGGCTGGCGTCGTAGGCAAGAAGAAATGTTACAAAAAGGTGAAACTGAACAAGGTTCTCAATTGTGTGCCTTTATTGGTATAGGCAATTCAGATCAAGATATGCAACAATTAGATTTAAATGGAAAACAATATTGTGCTGCCAAAACATTATTTATATCAGATTCCGATAAAAGAAAGCATTTTATGTTATCAGTTAAAATGTTTTATGGTAATGCACATGATATAGGTGTTTTTAATTCAAGACGTATTAAAGTTATTTCAAAACCATCAAAGAAAAAACAATCATTGAAAAATGCTGATTTATGTATAGCTAGTGGTACAAATGTAGCTCTATTTAATCGTTTAAGATCGCAAACAGTATCAACGCGATATTTACATGTTGAAAATGGTCATTTTCATGCTAGTTCAACTCAATGGGGAGCATTTACAATTCATTTATTAGATGATAATGAAAGTGAATCAGAAGAGTTTCAGGTAGATTTCTTGTCATATAATTCGCTTTAATCATAAAATTTTGTTAAAATGATTTTTTTTTTTGTAATAATTTAAAATATAAAATATTAGGTTCGAGAGGGTTATGTCCATTATGGAGCTACAGTAAAACTAGTCTGTTCGGTAACTGGTATGGCTTTACCAAGATTAATAATTAGAAAAGTTGATAAGCAAATGGCACTATTAGAAGCTGATGATCCCGTATCACAATTACATAAATGTGCCTTTTATATGAAAGATACAGAGCGAATGTATTTGTGTCTATCACAAGAAAAAATTATACAATTTCAAGCAACACCTTGCCCAAAGGAGCCAAATAAAGAAATGATAAATGATGGTGCCTGTTGGACTATCATATCGACTGACAAAGCAGAATATCAATTTTATGAGGGGATGGGTCCAGTTGCGTAAGTTTCAAAATTATTTTCAAAATTTAAATTTTCAAACAAAAGTGTCCAACAACTCATTACAATTTTTCTTCTTTCCCATATCAAAAAATTTTTTTGATTTGATTTTAACTTTTAATTTCAATAGAACACCAGTAACTCCAGTTCCTATTGTAAATTCATTGAATCTCAATGGTGGTGGTGATGTTGCAATGCTTGAATTAAGTGGTGATAATTTTACACCGCATCTGCAAGTATGGTTCGGTGATGTTGAAGCCGAAACGATGTATCGATGCACGGAAACTTTATTATGTGTTGTACCGGAAATTTCACAATTTAGGGGCGAATGGCTTTGGGTAATAAAAATGACAATATATTTCAGATTTATTATATACTAAAATAATTTATTCTTATACTCTTACACCAAAAACAAAACAAAAAAAAAAAAAAAAATCATTTAAAAAAATTAAGGTTCGCCAGCCAACACAAGTGCCTATATCATTAGTAAGAAATGATGGTATTATTTATGCAACTGGTTTAACATTTACATATACACCAGAACCAGGCCCGAGGCCACATTGTCACCCAGCTGAAGATGTGATGCGAAATCCAACATCAACAACAACAACAACATCAACACGACACAATAATAATTCTACTAATAATAATAGTAATAATAGTAGTAATAGCAATAGTAACACTACATCGAACTCATCAAATAATAATCAACAACATCATCGAACATCGACGACTACTTCATCTCAACAACAAATGTCATCTATTACAGATGTATCATCATGGAGTTCACATGGTATTAGTTTATCATGAATAAAATTAACTTAAATAGAATTTAAAAAAGAGAAAGAGAAATCATTTTTTTTTTTATATTATTAAAGATTGAAAAAAAGATGAGCAACACATCAAATGGAAAAATCAAAGTATCCTATATTTGTTTTTTTGATATTTAATAATATTAAAAAAAAAAATTAATATTAGTAATATAATAATAGTAAACACTGTAATATCTCGAATTTTTGCGAAAATGTGAAAAGTTATACAATTTATAATATAATGTATTTGTATTTTGTATAAATTAGTTGTAAATGTAATAATGTATATCAAATCATTCCTATTGTGTATTTTCCTCTTTTTAAGTGGATATACAATAAAATTATTTACAGAACATATATTATTAAAAAAAAGGTATATAATTATAAAAAAAAGGAACAAATATATATAAATATATATATTTTTTGTATTAAAAATGCAAGATAAAATCAAATTTTATATCTATATATATACCATAAAATAAAAACAAAAAATCAAAAAAAAAAAAAAATTTATTAAAAAGAAATATTTTTATCATGAACAAATATTTGTAATTGTGAACACTATTTTTTGTATGCACTTAGTATTTTTTTTTAAACCTTACCCCTGTCTTACAAAACAAAATAATTATTAACTTATATACATTCTCTATTTACTTATTCAAATAATTAAATTAAAAACTTTATTGTAAATCTATTATAAATGTAATGCAAACCTATTTTCTGAAACAAAAAAAATTATATATATATATATATATATATATATATTTTAAATAAAACGAAAAAAAAGAGCATTTTAATTCTATTTTTTGAATTTTTTATATATAATTATTTCTTTTTAAATTATTAAAGTGTGTAAATTTTATTTCTTATAATTTAAAAAAAATAAAAAAAAAAATATGAAATTTATCTACATATTTTAAATAGTTCTATATAATTATTGTGTAATAATGTTAAATTTAAAAAATAAAACTATCTCGTCATATTTAAATTTATAAAAATTAATTAAATATTGAAATTATAATTTTAATTTGTGTTAACTGCAAAACTATATATACATAAATTTTTTTTTATTTTTCTCGTATTTTAATTATATGTAAAATAAATAAAAATAAACTATAAATTAATTTTAAATAGACTTTATTATTTTAATGTATACAATTACATATTATTTTAAATATGTATATATTATCAATATTATTCAATTTTAAGTCATTAAAGCAAAATAGCAATCAAAAAAAAAAAATTAAAAAAATTAACAAAAAAAAAAAAAGATACCAACATAATTCCATAAGTTATCATTTTTAATATTATTTAATTTTATTTTAAATTTTCATATGATTTTAAATTAAAATTCACTAGAAATATGATTTATATAAAATTACAATATTGTTCATATGGATTATAATTTGTGTAGACTGAAAATATTATCCGTCGGTAATACAAATTTCTTTTAACTTAAATATATTAGTATCTTTTTATTTGAAATATATACGTATAATTACAATAAAGAAAGGTTTTTAAATAAGAAAAAAAAACATTTTACAGGGCAAAATTTTTCCAAAAGTTTATACATCCATTTACAGAATTTCAACATTATCAAAATACAATAGGTAATTAAAATTAACAAAAATTATTTCAAATTTACAAAATGTAAGGCATTTTAAACATTAAATGATACTATTCTTCAAAATTTTATAAATAATTAGAAAATTAGGTATTTTTCTTTTTAATTAATTATATTAACTATATAATTCTATTTTTTTAATATTCTTACATTTAAAATATTTACAAGATATATTTATATAATATTATGTACAAATAAAAAATTATTTCCGATCATTTTATTATGGATTTGAAATGATAAAAAATTAATTTATTAAATATTTTTATAACACAAACATTTTTTTTTGTGTTAAAATTATATTTGGAATTAATATTATTCGATAAAAATTGTAAAAAAAAATATTTTTTTCCCAGTTTTTTACAAATATTTTCATAATTATAATTGTAAGATCATATAAATTGTATTTCTAGTGTATTTTTTACAAGTCAAACTTTTATTAATTTTTTTTTTCTGAAAATATTAAGATAATTAATTGTTTTTACCAAAAAAAAAAAAATAAACGAACTCAAAAACTAGCAATTTAGCATTTTAAATTTTAAAATAATTAAATGTAATCTTTTTTTAAAAATATTAAAGTAAAATAATTTTATTGTCCTTAATGCAGTTGAATATTTTTTATTAAAATTAATTATATTTTTTTTTTTGTAATTTAAATAATGAAATTAAAATAAAAGTATTTTTTTTTTTAATTTCAAATTCGGAATTTTAAAAATTTGTCGTATTGTGTGCATGCATTAATTTTACCTATTTTTTTTTTGGTCTTTAATTTAAAATTAAGCTCTTTTTGTGTATATAACATAATTTTTTCTAAAAAAAAAAAAAAAATTAAACAAAAACTTGACAAAATGTCTGACTTATAACTAATTATTATTTTTATAATTATTATTGTAATTATTATTTTTATTATTATTCATCAAAAAGAAAATTAATAATTCATTTATAAATCATAAAGAAAAATAAAGAAAAACTTTAATTATTAGTAATTTACATTTATATATAATATACATATATATATATATATGTATATGTGAATATATATTTTTATTTTTGATTTGTATTATAAAATATTAGAAAATATAAAAAAATTTGAATGAATTAAAAAATTTATATGAAAAAAATATAAAAGATGCAAAATAAAAAAAAAAAACAAAGAAATTAAGGAAGAAATTAAAAAAACAAAAAAAAAAAAAGATAAAAAAAAGAAAATAAAAATAAATATATAAATTATTTTGTAATAAAAAAAAGTTTCCTGTTTTTTTGTTTATTGAAAACGATAATTGGTTCGAAATATGGACAGAACAAAAGTGATTTTCTTTAATACCTGTATAAAGCAATTCATGCATCTTATTCTATTATATTTGTAATGATTTTATTAAATTGAAATTAATTACTAAGAAAGTCGAAGCTACATAACAGGTTAATAAGGGAAAATACGGTATAATAGGCTTTTAGTAACAATAATGTTGTTAAACACAAAATTCAATAATTAAAGAATTTAATTTTAAATTAAATTTAATATTAATTTCAAAGATAGGGTTTTTTTCGTTTTACTATTCCATTCAATTTTATGATAGGAATTTAAAATATGATTCGAATCACAAGATATTTTGAAAAAAAAAAAAAGGAATCTCAAAATATAATTTAAAGTAATTTAATTTTTTGCTTACTTTCAACTCAGCTCACAAACAATATACATATAAAATAATTATTGTATTTAAAATTACAATAGGTAAAATTATATTTTAATAAAATTTCATTTAAATATTTTCAATAAATTAAATTCAGATTTAAATTCTTAAATAATATAAAATTAATATAAATTACATAAATCAAATTCACTTCTTAAAAATTTCTATTAATTTAAAAAATCTTACATTAATTTTAAATATTCTGATTAATTTCTTATTAATTCTTATAAATCAAATAAAATTTAAATTGCAAATATTAAAAATTTAATATTTAATTGTAGAAAACGAAAAATATTATAAAAAAATAAGCTTTTTTAATTTTTTTTTATAATTATATAGAAAGGTCAAAAAAGTTGTAAGTAATTTTATGTTGTTTTTTTTTTTCTTTAATTTATTTATACCTTTGCTTTATAATTTTGATTTACAAGATAATAATAGTTAGTATCTTTTGATAAATAATTTTAATAGGGAGTCATTTTGTATAGAGAACAATTGACGGAAATAATAATCTATATCTAAAAAGCTATGATAGCAAGCAAGCACAAAAAAAAAAAATTATGATATTTATTTTTTTTTCCTCTTAATTTCTATTCTTTTTAAAAATAATTGTGGGAAATTTTTTCGATATTTTTTTTTATTCTCTGTTTTAAGATAAAATTATATTTTTATTTGCTGATTATTCATTCTTAATCTTAATTTAAAGCAAGAGAAAAAAAATTAAAATAAAATAAAAATCAGCTTGTCAAAAAGAAAATAATTAACTTTTAATATCCTAAAAAAAATTCCTTTTATTTTTTTTTAACATCATAAAATTGTTATTTAAGAGTACAATGACGATTCAATTAAATAAAGTTATAAAAAAATCTGAATTTTAGTTTCTTAAAATTGTAAGTTTTATATAAGGGGATTTTTGATAATTCAAATATGCTAGACATAAAATTCTAATTTAAATCTTAAAAACCTTTTTTTCCAGAAATGGAAAGGTAGTACCATATAAATTGATTAGTGCTACCTTATAATTTGAGGCATTTAACAAAAACATATTTAAAGATGTTTTAAAAACTCAAGAATCGTACGATTTTCGGACGTGCTTTTTCTTCAGTAAGATTTACCGAATGTCCTATTATTTAAAGATTTTGTGGTTTTTTATCGAACATGTTGTTCAAGACCTAAGTTATAATGGAATTTTCAAAAAACCCATATACATTTGGAATATGATTTCGAATAAGTAATATGTTCAAAGTGTTTTTTACAATTTAATAAAATAAATTTATATATAAAAATTTATTAAAAAATATTTCAGCTAAGAATTTATTTTATATTGCTTGCTCGATTAGATTCCTATAAGAAATTTTTAATAGAACAATTTCATATTATTTATAGAATTCTATATATTCTAGCTTTTATCGAGGCATTTTTGTTTTTAATAAAAGTTCAAATAAATCATTTGATTTACTTTTCATTTTTAAATTTTACGATTATATTCTTAATGAATTATCTTAAATAGGTATGGGACTCTTAGACAAAATTCGGCTTAGGAGTGTAATTGCCCAATTGAATCAATAGTATATTGCAGTTCTAAAATCACAGTTACAAATGACTTTCATACTATAATTTATAACAAACTCGTATATATTTAAAAATGGAAAAATATTTCCACTGTTTTTTAAAATATCATAGAAAGTTTTTCATTCTAGTATTGGTTAACCTTATTATCAATGTTAAACAATAAAAATTTCAACAAGTTAGTGAGAAGGAAAGAAATTTTTTAATACGGAAATTTCAAAATTTCTCATCAGTTTTTTTTTTAATTTCTTTCTTTTCTGTGTTTTAAATTTTTTTTTCCACCTAACTAGCTATATATATAAGCACTTAACTAAACGTATCTAGGCACCTACTTTTTAACAAATTTCTTTTCTCACAAAATCTTTCACACATATTTAATTTAAATCTCAAACTATCTTTTATTTTAAATACAATGAATTTATTTAAACTTAAAATTTGCATTTAATTAGAATTAATAAATTTTCAAATAATTTATAAGTAGTA